CACTGTGGAGTTTGATTAGGAGGTTCTATACAGTTGTATTCTATTTATGGCACAATCAAGCTCTTCCATTTTCTCTTTGAGGCAGAGAATTTCCTATAATGTTTCAATGACTTACAGAAATTGATACAACCCAAGTTATACAACAGAAATAATCTGGGATAGCAATGAATCTTGTATCATTTTTAAATATACCTGTAAAATTATAAAAAGAAACATTTTCAATCCTAAATGAACCAAAAATCTTCATAAAAACTGCACACTAGTTTTTGATAGTGGGATAAAAAGCACTGTTCTACAGCATCTTGATTAAGTTCTTCTGAATGAGGCCTCACATTGGTGAAAAACAAATCTTAAAACAGCTATTGCTGAGAGATGTGAGTAACATCTACATCTAAGATCATTACCCTCTCTGTGGCTAATACTGCATTTTATAGCATACTGCTAATGTTCTGTATTGCATGAGCTTCCATAACTGTAAAATATGACTTTACATTTTTACATTTTCTTGTTTATTCCAATTTATCTGCAATGAACCACAAATGGACCTTGCATATAAGAACAGACAAGTAAATGTAAATTTTCATCACCACAATAATTGCAATACATTTCTCCTTAAGTAGTTGAAAAAATATATATACTCAAAATCTCTGAATTCCTCCCAAATGCAGCTTACCATGTGGTCCCATTTACTAAACATGAGCTTGTCTTTTCACTGTCTAATCTACTTATGAAATGCCACATTTGAATAACCTCCTACACCACATAAACACTATAGGATGACACCCTTATATACATATATGTATAGCTATGTACAATACATGTCCTGTCAATGAGCCATATCCTTCTTAGCAAGGTACAGTATTTTTCATTGAAAATCCAATGGGAAGAGAGTGTTGTAAATGCCTGTATTTACAATAGGAAGCAATATTGTTTACAAACATACACTTTAGAATTGTATGCAAGAACATGCAATTCAATAATATCAGTAATTTACATATATCAAAAGCATGTCTGGCAAAAAGTTTTGTCATCACGAGCAAATCTAGTCTTATGTAATAAAAATATTTTTATTCAAATTCTTGGTGTAAATTAGTAGGAAAGAGTTTGTAGACTTCAGTTCAGTGAATATCATCCGAGAAAGTGGACTGTATTTTCATTACTGAACTTTCATGTACTGGCCTGGCTGATATAAACTATCATTGGCTGCTTGGATCTCTCCTGCCAACTTTAAGTCTGATAATACAATAAAAGCATAGTAAAGGAGCCATTTTGAAACACTTTCGTAAGTACTAAGAAGAATGTTACATATTTGGTGGCATTACGTTAGTATCACAACCATAGAATATAAATATACATCTTGCAATCTCATAAAGACATTTTCTTCTCCATAAAACAAATCAAGGCATTCACAGCATACAAGTAGATAAGGTCAGGTATGTATATTGCAACAAATGTGTCATGGTAAGAGACAAATCTATGATACACGAGGCTGTGATACAGTTACATGAGATTCAAGTACACATTTACTACATGTATGGTCTCTGTGCCACAGCTCAGAAGATTCCTTACTACTCCTACAGATGCTGCACATTATATTGGATGATAGACTGTTGCCCTCATGCTACTGTAGGTCACCGAAGAACCATTCCTTTTCATTTTACCTTTTTGTGTGTGTGTGTATGTGTGTGTGTGTGTGTGTGTGTGTGTGTGTGTGTGTGTGTGTGTGTGTGTGTGTGTGTGTGTGTGTGTGTGTGTGTGTGTGTGTGTGTGTGTGTGTGTGTGTGTTTGTGTGTATGTGAAAAGATGCAATGCAACCTATTTATAAATTTCAAATGCAAGATATTATTTTGACTAGATATATTACTCAAGAAATGCTCCATTCAGCCTGTAGCTATGGAAAAATGATAACAAAAATGTCAATATCAAAATCACAGAAAAATTGCAAATGCCATAATATTTTACAGAAATAATTATGTAAACTCTGAAGTTAGAAAAGTGATATATGGCTATATATCTATGTCTGTGATTGTGTGTGGATGTGAGCATATCTACATTTTTTTTTTTTTTATGTGTGTGTGTGTGTGTGTGCATGTGTGTGTGTGTGTGTGTGTGTGTGTGTGTGTGTGTGTGTGTGTGTGTGTGTGTGTGTGTGTGTGTGTGTGTGTGTGTGTGTGTGTGTGTGTGTGTGTGAATTTAAAAGAAAAGTAAAACCAGTATCATTATTATTGCTACACTACAGTTTACAATATATGCAAAAAATGTTTTACCTAACATAACCAAAAAAAAATTTACTCCCTGAAGATATGAAACTAAAAAATGTTACAAAAATTCTCTAAATAACCTTTATAATACTGTGTAGAAAAATGACAAAAAGAGCATAAAAATCACTACCCCCACTACTTCTCTGTGAATGTCCTACTCTGTTTGCTTCAATTTCCCCTCAACTGAGTATGGCTGTGTATATGTGTGTATGTGTGTGTGTGATTCCCAACACCAGCAC